TTTTTTTTTTTTTTCTTATTATATTTTCTTAATTGCTATTTTCTGTATGTTGCTGATATTTTTTTGCTATGAGAGCGATGGGCCACCATACTCTAGGTCAGAATGCAGAATGTGTTTTAGCCCCTTCTTCCCCCCTCACACTTGTTGCTGTTATAAGCTGTTCTGCCAGTACATACTTCTATATAATCATCCCTGGCTTAATCAGTTAATTATATATGTAGCTTAATATCTGCAATCAGTATATATTACAGCTTCATGCTGATTAAATCCATTTGTTTTAAGATCTCTACGTGGTGTATCCACCATCAGGAAGCATCCGGGAGTTCCCTGTATCAGCGAAGACGACAGAATACCGCATCACTGGTCTTCAGAGGCGTCTGATACAAACTATGCTCGTGTCAAGGTAGAGTCAGATTCCAGTGAATTTAAAGAGGTGGAGACATTGTTCAGGAAAACGATGAAAGAGGACAACATCATTGACAGTTTTGAGCGAGTGGAAAATCTGTTCTTGTGGGAAACATACTGCAGGTAATAGTAACAAAAAAAAAAACTTAAATAGAACTTGTAACTTGCGGTTCCCGATAGCTGAGCGTTTCGGATCTTTCCTGTGAAATACCTTCCTATAGACACCATGAATACCATCAGGTCATGAAACCAGGTTTGACATTATGTTACACTTTTTTTCGTTTGATATCATCTTGGCTAGTGTTGAGGCTACTGGGGCATGAAATCGGGACCGTGCCTTGTTGACGACCTATGTTCTGCAAAAAGTCAAAGTTTGCAGAGTTTTTCGGGTTTGATTTCTGCAAAGCACAGATATTTGTCTCAGTCTGGTGCTTTATTACCCTGGTATTGAGAATTGTAGTTGAACACGCCCACCCAAGTTGGCCGACCGCCTCGGCAGAAAGGGTTGTTCTTCTATGGTCGTGTCTTGCCGAAAAAAAATTATCCTCCTCGAGTGAAATTCGTACCCTTTGGAATCAGTTATGCAAACAACAACTTTAACGGCAACAACGCCTTCGAGCAGCACACTGACTGCACGTTTATACATGTTTTAGTCCTCATCTGCAAACAGGGAACAATGTGAAATGACTAGTTTAAAAAATTCGAAGAACTTAAATCACGGCGGCTAAATTTTAGTATTTTTATTTGGAATTCAAAATCTTCTTCATGAGGCCTTTCCTAAGTGATGTTATTAGATACCCATCTCTGGACAATCGGCCAATTTGGTTGGACGTGGCTCAACTAGGAAAGTTAGGCTCTATTTCGCGTGGGGTAAAAAAAAAAAAAAAAAAAAAAAAAACGTTCAAAATGTAACATATCATTTGGGTAATATAGATGCTTTATAGGAATACCAAAAGCGTCGATATAGACACTTAAATGGCTTTACTATTACATAAGTAAGTGTCGCAATAAGCCCGAGTGACTTGTAAAAATGATGGGGATTTTTGAAGGGGGCCGAAAAAAGGGAGTTGCAGAATCTTGTTTGGGGGCCTTGCTCGAATTCTTGTCAGCGCCTTTTTATAAATCCAGTCATACATATATAATAAGAATTGTTGATAACTGCAAGTCTGCAACACGTTCGACTTCACGTGGTTTTTCAATCATGATTGTTTTGAGTTACTGTGGTTCCTCTGCTATCAAATCGTAGGAACGACAATTTTAAGTAGCCAATGAACGTTTACTTACATGTAATTCGATTAAAGGAAAAAAGATCGCATGGTGGCCTTGGCAATGCAGAAAAACCCACAGAGAATGGCCAGTGACTTCCCTTGTGAAAAGCGTTTGTTTCACGGAACTAGTCCCGATGCAGTGGATGCCATCTGCAAACAGAACTTTGACTGGCGTGTGTGCGGAAAAAGTGGCACCAAGTACGGAGAGGGAAGTTACTTTGCAACTAATGCATCTTATAGTCATTCATACGCCAAAAGTGGTTCAGATGGTTTTCGGTTTACGTTCTTGGCCAGAGTTTTGGTTGGATCTTTCATCAAAGGGAAACGGGAATATCGAAAGCCGCCAAAGAAGGACCCTTCAAATCCCTCGAGCGATCTGTACGACTCGTGTGTAGATAACGAACGTAATCCTGAAATCTTTGTTATCTTTGATGGTGATCAGTTCTATCCAGAATATGTTATCAAATACTTTACACTGGATCAAGACCGAATCCTTTTAACATCAATAACAGCGCCAAGAAGTTCCCAAGGCCTCACAGCGAATCCGAAGAGCCCCAGCACAAGTCTGAGCGCTAATAGAGCAATGCCCCACTCAGCTTCAAATTTGCAGCAGCCAATAGCATCGCCGAGAGGTTTTCAAGACCTTAAAGCCAATACGAAGAGCTCTATCACAACTCTGAGTACTAATAGGTCACTGCTCCACTCAGCTTCAAATTTGCAGCAGCCTGTTAAAGCGTCTACAAGTTCCCAAGGTGGTGCAGCCAATTTAGCCGGGTCCAGTGATAGCTTTACAGCAAGTGATTCTAATGCTCAGTCTAGGAAAAAGCAAAGAAATGACTCAAAGTCGAGAAAGTACTCAACCTCGAATTTGCGTCAACCAATACCAACGCCGAGAAGTTCTCAAGGCCTCAAAGCGAATCTGAAGAGCCCCAGCACAAGTCTGAGCACTCAAAGAGCAATGCCCCACTCAGCTTCAAATTTGCAGCAGCCAATAGCATCGCCAAGAAGTTTTCAAGACCTTAAAGCCAATACGAAGAGCTCTATCACAACTCTGAGTACTAATAGGTCACTGCTCCACTCAGCTTCAAATTTGCAGCAGCCTGTTAAAGCGTCTACAAGTTCCCAAGGTGGTGCAGCCAATTTAGCCGGGTCCAGTGATAGCTTTACAGCAAGTGATTCTAATGCTCAGTCTAGAAAAAAGCAAAGAAATGACTCAAAGTCGAGACAGTGCTCGATACTATAACCTCACCTGGGCATGAAGCATCATGGTATTTGAACTAAGGAGTAAGTCTGGTACAAAATCGCCCACGGTGAGTTTTGGTTTGGGAAAGCGATTTACACACAGCTTCAACCAGTTGCTTTAATCACTTGAGACAAGACGTCCAACTGGAAACACAGACGGTGTCAAAAACGTAAAAAATTTATTGATTTTGGACCAATTAAATATTAAAGATTATTAATCGGTTGTTAATTCTTTGACCAACACCTCAAGATACTGTAGCTGCATCGACAAATATGTTGATTCATTTTTTTTTACTATTCTAATACCAAATATCTAACCGCCAACCGTCAACTAGCCTAAAATTTAATCGTCAACAGTCAGAAAGCAATATTTTCTGCCATCAACCTGTTGTACAGCTGTTTTTAAGCTATTTTAAAACTTTTGTGGATCTGTTGTAAAGCTGTTTTTAAGCTATTTTGGAAACGTCTTTGATCTGTTGTATAGCTCTTTTTAAGCTACTTTGAAACTTCTTTTGATCTGTTGTATATTTGTTTTTAAGCTACTTTGAAACTTGAAATTTTTTTGATCCGTTGTATAGCTGTTTGTAGGCTACTTCGAAACTTTTTTTTTATCTGTTCTATAGCTGTTTTTAAGCTTCTTTGAAAACTCATTTTGATCTGTTGTATAGCTGTTTTTAAGCTACTTTGAAAGTTTTTTGATCTGTTGTAAAGCTGTTTTTAAGCTATTTTGAAAACTCATTTTGATCTGTCGTATAGCTGTTTTTAAGCTACTTTGAAACTTTTTGGATCTGTTGCATAGTTGTTTTTAAGCTACTTTGAAAACTTCTTTTGAGCTGTGTATAGCTGTTTTGACGCTACGTCTTTTAAACTTTTTTTGAGCTGCTATAAAGGTATTTTAAAGCTGCTACCTTGAGCAGTTTTAAAGCTGCTTTTAAGCTACTTTTGAACTGCTTTGGAGCAAATAAGTCTATCAAGGAAGGAATCGTTTGCAGCTGATGTTGTTCCTTGAGGTAGAATAGGCCTAGAGAAAGAATATGTATTAATCTTGCCTGTCCACATTCGAAGAAGATTTCGGTCACACGAGAGTATTATACATTGAACGAAAAAAATGGAAGTCATGTTTTGCTTCTTCACTGACGGCAAGCAACACAAAGCGCGAGAACTTGACATGATTACCCTTAGAAATCATGCACCGCGGTCATACACGGCATGATTACCCGTGACCTTGAGTGTCCTTGACATGATTACTGTATAATCTGCAGCTAGATGATGTCACAGGCGCTGATTTCGAAAACTCACTGTCGCTTTCGGCGAGTCAGAAAACAGATGGTGAGTTCAATGTACAATAACAATGAAAATCAGCGTTGTGTATGTTTTCAAATAAAGTCTGCATACGAGCCAAGCGGCTCATCAGGCCGGAGCTTATCCCGTTTTCTTTAGCATGAAGCATCTAAGAGTAAGGCCTACTCTGGGACCTTAAGTTGCCTAAAGTCGCCTAAAGTCGCCTTAAG